TTCTTTCTCAGGAAATGGAATTTTTCTTTTGATATAGATTTTTTTTTTTCATAAAAACAAATATTTAATTAATTTGCTTTGGCAAATTGTCCAATGAAAATATTTGCCTTTAAATTATTCAGCAAACAAACAAAAAAATAGGAAGAACAAAAATAAAAATCATACAAAACAAATTCAATGTGGTTGTGTCGTTTTGTCGTTGTGGCCAGGTTTGTGTGTTTAGCTAATAAATCAATTAGCACTGAAATAAAAACAAAACAAAACAAACTCACCGAACAAACATTGAGTCATATTACTGACTCCCTTTTCACTCCCTCTCTCTCTCGCTTCTTTTCTGTTTGCATCACAAACATTTGTTGTGACGTGAAATTCCGCAATAAAGTTTTATTTTTATTTCCAATTAAAATACTCAATCATCGGTTATTACGTATTGAATTGTATAAATAAAATGAGTATATTTTTGTTCTTGTTGTTGGCGTTTTTTCAATATATATTTAATAACGCATTTATTTAGTCATGTGTATTGAATTTTGGTATGACGAATATTGTTTGTTGTTGTCTTTGCTGGAAAATAAAAATAATTACCAACGAGGAAAACAGGAAATTTTATATAAAATAATACCAAAAAAATAAAACGCTAAATAAATTAAATTATTAGTTTTTGTCTCCTATTAATATCAGTCATCACTGTGTTGTTGTTTTTTCACTCATATTTACTTTTTTTTAAATTTTTAAAACAATTTTTAATTTAATTTAAATTTGTTTATCATTTTAGGCTTATGTATGGCAGATTTACTAGTGCACTAAATGACAGTTTATAGAGGAAATTTAATTTCACCAAATAAATTAAAATAATACAACAACAGAGGAAAAAAAAATAACAAACGTTAGCTGGGTTTGTTGTTGTTGCTGGTGCTGTTGAGTGTGAGTGTGTGTGTGTTTAGCAAAACGCTGTCCTTTTGACACGCCCCCACGTTTCCCATAAACATAAATGTACAAGGACAGTAGCTGCCGTAGCAGCCCTCAGCCACCACCAACAACGACGAACGTCGCTGAAATTGCCACGGAGACAGGAGTAGCAGCCACAGGCGCAACAGCAGCAGCTTCATCATTACCCCTAGATAACCCACCAATCCATGCCCGCGCTGCCACCTTAGAAGACGACGAAGAGGACGGCTTCAGTTGTCCCTCCGAATCGAGCAGTGACACCGACTACGAGATACGTTCACGACCCTCTACTACTAGCACAACATCTACATCTTCCTCCTCGGCGGCGGCAGCAGCGCCTGCAGTGGGAGCACCTTGTCTGAGACGCCAGAAACGTACCACCGCCAATTCGGCCCCACGTTGTCACATTAACTCCGATGTGCGTCTTTTGCGCAAGATCGGTTATATTGCTTCGCGCGTGCGTTTTCTTGCCAAAATCTATGGTGACTTTAAGCTGGTAAATCCCTATAGTCCGGCCAAACAGAAACGTTTATTACAGGAAATCTTACTTAAGCACTCGATAGTGGATCCCGAACGTGAATTGGCCAAAAGTGAGAATTTAAAATTGCGCTCGGCCGGCGGCACTTCCTCAGTACGTAGTCTTACACCAGCCAGTTCCATAGCCAGTAGTTATTGTTGCCTGCCCCAAACGGAAAGTTCATTCGAAGACGATTCGGTAACCGGCACAGTGCGTCGCAAATCATCTACATCGGTCACAACCACAGCTTCAACTTTCTTACTAGAAGATCTCTTAATACAATTGTATGAAGATCGCCGCAATAAGGTCACCGTAATACGACGCAGACGTAGTAGGCGCAGCAGTGCTGGGGCAGTGGGTGGTACGTCCAAGTTACCACGCAATCATTTGATCATAATGAGCAGCAAGACTACCAGCAGCAGTGTTGAGCGTCTATTACAACAGGATAACGAGGACGAGGGAGGTGGCGGTGGTGTGGGCGTTATTGGTGTTACAGGCAGTGAAAGCTCGGATAGACTTACCAAAGGTAATCATATATACAATGCAAATATTACAACTTCTAGTCAGCCGCAACAGCAGCGCAGTAGTACTGCATTTCTCCAGCCCATACCGGGGGATGAGAATCTAAAACGTCGTCGTGCCAGCGATTGTACACCCTCCCATCCGGGTCAACCCTTAAGTAATCAACTGCAGATTACTTTAAAAAATAATAATTGCACAAAATTTCCCTTGCACCGCGGCAGTTGTGGAGCCGCCGGTGAGCATTTATTAGCAGCCAATTCTATAGCCAATCGTCAGACTTTAATACTAAGTAAATCATGTGGCAATGTGGATGCCGGTTTGGGCAACAGTAATCCCGCTCTCTATGGCAGTACAGATTTGCGTAATTTAAGCGCAAATGCTAGTGCTGGTGGTGGAGGTGGTAATGGTTCTGTCACAACGACTACAAATAGTGCAGCTGTTGGTGGTGGTGTGGGTGTGGGTGGAGGCGTTGGAGGTGCAACAACTCAAACCAATGGCAACAACGAGTACAGTATTGTTCAATTAAATAACACCATTATACAGTGTCATTTCAACGATGAAGACTTTCGTGCTCTGGTCAAGGATCTTAAGCGTAAAGTCGAATATACCGAACGCATGAATTGGTTATGTAAGTAACATTTTTAAGAAGTTTTATTTACAAATTATGTAAAATTTTTTGTATATTATATAAGATTTGTTAAGTAGTTTAGTTTGTTAAATATTTTGAAGTTTTTTTTTTTTTTTTTTCTATTCAACTACTATTTTTGATGTTGTAAAACTTTTAATTTGACATTAATTGTAGTTGTATTAAAAATTGTGTTTTTTGTAATACAACTGTGCAAAAAAATAATATTGAATTAAATATGTATAAAAGTTGGTTCAGCCCCTTTCTTAAAGTGGACGTAACCATAATTTTTTTATTTAAAACCTTATAGAATATTTTGTTTTTTTTTTTTAATATAAATTTCCACTCCCAAAAAATGGGCGTGTCTAGGACATTTCTGCTGTTTAAGTCCTTTTCAATCAATGTGTTAAATTGTTGTATTATATTTTTCTATATTTTTTAAATTCTATTTCATTCTATCTCAATTATTCTTATTTCGTGTCTCATTTAATGACTGTCAATATTTTATGGTTTTAAACTTTTATAACCGTAATATGTAGCAAACATTTTAACGTTTTTTATAGTCCTGTATATTGCATAATTTTCTATGGCTGTTTGTATATGTATGTGTATTTTTATAAAAGTGTATATGCTTCAATGTATGTGTATTAGGAAAGCCCCAAAAAAGTTATTACTTTTCTTATAAAAATAAATCTTTTTTGGTTTTAGAATTCTAAAGTCCTTTTTAAAGATTTTTTTCTTCATCTCGTTAGATCTACTCTCCTAATACTTTGCATTGGCTATTAAAATATTTTTAATTTGTTCCCTCCTAATATTTCCGTATTTAGCATGTTTGCAGTAGTGATGGATTGTCTACAGAAATATTATTGCTATTTTTAGTGCTTTTAGTATTTATTAGCTCTTCGGCCATAAAATACAATGACGTCGAATAGATTCCGTTTTGAGTAGAAAAAAATTCATAACAATGGAATCATGTGTGGCCGGTGATGAGTACTCTATAGTTTTTGATGGGAATATATATTTATTTTATTACATGTAACAGATGAAAACTTTTTTTGCATATTATTGTGATTTTAAAGTGTGAGATATAACAAGTGCTAATCTATTGTCTAGTCTTTAGTCTAGCCTATAGTCTAGTCTATAGTCTAGTCTATAGTCTAGTCTATAGTCTAGTCTATAATCTAGTCTATAGTCTAGTCTATAGTCTAGTCTATAGTCTAGTCTATAGTCTAGTCTATAGTCTAGTCTATAGTCTAGTCTATAGTCTAGGCTATAGTCTAGTCTATAGTCTAGTCTATAGTCTAGTCTATAGTCTAGTCTATAATCTAGTCTATAGTCTAGTCTATAGTCAAGTCTATAGTCTAGTCTATAGTCTAGTCTATAGTCTAGTCTATAGTCTAGTCTATAGTCTAGTCTATAGTCTAGTCTATAGTCAAGTCTATAGTCTAGTCTATAGTCTAGTCTATAGTCTAGTCTATAGTCTAGTCTATAGTCTAGTCTATAGTCTAGTCTATAGTCTAGTCTATAGTCTAGTCTATAGTCTAGTCTATAGTCTAGTCTATAGTCTAGTCTATAGTCTAGTCTATAGTCTAGTCTATAGTCTAGTCTATAGTCTAGTCTATAGTCTAGTCTATAGTCTAGTCTATAGTCTAGTCTATAGTCAAGTCTATAGTCTAGTCTATAGTCTAGTCTATAGTCTAGTCTATAGTCTAGTCAATCACGACAATAAATAAAGTTTATTACCTTTTTTATAGTGCCACCGATTTGTTGTTTTTCTCTTTTCATTGTTAATTTTAAAACTAAAGTATTATTTGATTTGGTAATTATTTTTTGCATTTTTTATAAATAGCGCATAATTTTGTAATTGTTTTTACAACTTTATGTACATTAGTGGACGGAAATACTTTACAAATACAGTACAGTTAAACCTAGATTATTGCAACTACAAAAATATAAATTCTAAAATATATATTCACAACTGAGTGTTAGAAAATTTTATGTAAATTAAAGTTTCACTGTATCCTTAGCAATTTTGCTAAAGTATGTTTGTAATTTTCTGTTCAATCAAATAGTTGTTGGTTTAATTTATTAAAAATAGTTTGTTTTATGTTATTTTTTTTTCTATTTTCGCAAATTATTATCTCTATTTAAATTCCTTTCAGCTAAACGTTTATGGATTTTATTATAAGTTTAATTAAGTTAGTTTTATTACCAACAAATATTTGGCTTATGAAGCCTAAGCCTTATTATTATGCTAATCAAAAGGAATTTCAATAGCTTTTAGCTAAAAAAAAAATAATGTTTATTAGCTTTTACAATTTTATTATAGTAATAAAATCTTATTTACTTAATTAACTGATCAGTAAAGAAATAAAAAGATAAACTTACAAATGAAAAGCTCTGAAGGGAAATAGGTTAAGTCTGTAAAAAAATAAAAAAATAAATATTTTTTTTAGTAGTCGGTATCATAATATGTAGTTTGATAATATATAATATAAGCATAGTTTTAGAAATGGAGTTAATAGATTTTGTTGTTGCTTTTTACCTTTATTTATAAAAATTAAATTTTTCATAAATGTTAAACATTTTGCTTGTTGGGTTTAACTTCTATCTAAGAATTTATGTTTGTTTTGTGTAAGTAATTTAAAAAGCTATAAATTATTTAACTTAATGAGCTTTTAAATCTCTGCTTGTTAATCTAATAGATCTTTACACGTTTCTATTTATTTACTTATGCTTACACAAAACTGTATTATTCCTTCATTTCACTTATCATAATTTATAAGGGTTTAAATATCTCTTTAACCCCTTCTCTATATCTCTTTAACCCCTTTTTTAAATGAAATTTTCCTTAAACGTTTCTATGTATATGTGTAGCACAAAATATTTGTTATAGCTAATGGAATTTATGTAGAAATTTTGCTTAAATATTTATTTTGTAAAAAGATACTACTTTAACCCCCTCTTAAATGACTTGAATATAAATTTTTCCTGTACATATTTTGTATCCTAGTTCGTAGAATGAAAGCAGAACTCTTTGCAAAGATTTTTGTTCTTGATTGTTTTTAAAACTTGTAACATATTAAATCATTCATTTCATTTTTTGTTACTGGTAACTGCTGATTGTTGGTATAAATGTTATTACCACAATTGTAAACGTTCGTTGGCACATACAAGTACGGGTTACTACACACACTGTCTGTCATTGGAGGAGAGTGTAAAAAATATAATGTATAACCACACTTGTCTTGTCATTTATTCTTTTTGTTTTTTGTCACACAAGTGTATAAATAAACGGATAAATTGTCTCAGTTGTTAGTATCTATACATTCACGTTCTTATAAATAAGCTACAATTACATTCATACATGTCTGTTTAAGTGTGCGTATAACTCTCTATTTTCTTGCATGAAAAAAATAAGAAAAACTTTAACATGTTTGTACATTTGTTATATGTAATAAATATACTAATACATCTGTGACCATAAGTTATAATAAAATATGTATATCAAATGAATATTTACAGTTGAACCTTTAAAATGGTATACAATATTTTATACTTTTTTGATAATTATTTATTGTTGTCTTTAGTTCGTTGCCCACTGTTTAGTCAAAAAACATTATAAATATAGATTTTTATTAAGATTAAATAGTTCGGTTTTTATTTGGGTTATAAAATGTGTACGTTTTGCTTTGTTTTTAAACCTTTGTTAACACTGACATAAAATACCAATGCAATGTTCATAAAAATTTAGCAATTTTGATAAAGATTTATGATTATGTAGGAAAAATTTTTGATAAATTTGGTATTAGTTACAAAATTAAAGAAAATATTCTAAATACAAATAATGAAAATGTTTTAACTGAAGGCTCGCGTCAATAGTCAAGTCTTTAGTCTAGTCTATAGTCTAGTCTATAGTTTAGTCTATAGTCTAGTATGTAGTCTAGTCTATAGTCTAGTCTTTAGTCTAGTTTGTAGTCTAGTCTATAGTCTAGTCTATAGTCTAGTCTATAGTCTAGTCAATAGTCTAGTCTATAGTCTAGTCTACAGTCTAGTCTATAGTCTAGTCTATAATGTAGTCTATAATGTAGTCTATAGTCTAGTCTATAGTCTAGTCTAGTCTAGTCTATAGTCTAGTCTATAGTCTAGTCAATAGTCTAGTCTATAGTCTAGTCTATAGTCTATAGTCTATAGTCTATAGTCAATAGTCTAGTCTATAGTCTAGTCTATAGTCTAGTCTATAGTCTAGTCTATAGTCTAGTCCATAGTCTAGTCTATAGTCTAGTCTATAGTCTAGTCTATAGTCTAGTCTATAGTCTAGTCTATAGTCTAGTCTATAGTCTAGTCTATAGTCTAGTCTATAGTCTAGTCTATAGTCTAGTCTATAGTCTAGTCTATAGTCTAGTCTATAGTCTAGTCTATAGTCTAGTCTATAGTCTAGTCTATAGTCTAGTCTATAGTCTAGTCTATAGTCTAGTCTATAGTCTAGTCTATAGTCTAGTCTATAGTCTAGTCTATAGTCTAGTCTATAGTCTAGTCTATAGTCTAGTCTATAGTCTAGTCTATAGTCTAGTCTATAGTCTAGTCTATAGTCTAGTCTATAGTCTAGTCTATAGTCTAGTCTATAGTCTAGTCTATAGTCTAGTCTATAGTCTAGTCTATAGTCTAGTCTATAGTCTAGTCTATAGTCTAGTCTATAGTCTAGTCTATAGTCTAGTCTATAGTCTAGTCTATAGTCTAGTCTATAGTCTAGTCTATAGTCTAGTCTATAGTCTAGTCTATAGTTTAGTCTATAGTCTAGTCTATAGTCTAGTTTATAGTCTAGTTTATAGTCTAGTCTATAGTCTAGTCTATATTGTAGTCTATAGTCTATTCTATAGTGTAGTCTATAGTGTAGTCTATAGTCTAGTCTATAGTCTAGTCTATAGTCTAGTCTATAGTTTTGTCTATAGTCTAGTCTATAGTCTAGTCTATAGTCTAGTATATATCGTAGTATTTAGTGTATTCTAGTTTATTCTGTAGTTCATAGTTTATAGTCTAACCTACGTAGTCTGGCAGTCTTTGCTCTTATCTATAGTGACCTTTGATGTTTTTAATAATTTAGAAACTTGTCATAAGTTTGTTACATTTTTTAGAAATTAATTAATTTTCTAGTTTTTCAATTCATTTGTTATTTTATTGTCAAATATTCTAAAAAAGTTATATGCAGAAAATTAATGAGTTAGTTATTTTGTCCTCATCTTTGGCAATTTGTTGTTTGTACAAAATTACCCAAATGTTTTTGCTTTTTATCATATCTTTTCAATTAACAATCAAACAATAATATTAATCTACTCATTTTCCATTAGTTTTTTTTTTGTTTTTGTGATAAAATACTACGCTTCACTAGAAGCTGTGTAACATTAATTTTATTTTCCCTATAAATAAATTCATGTCTTGTATTGTGTAAGAGTTTGTGTCATTAAAATAACACAAGTAGGGAAACGGAAAACAAAGTTTTTACTACCATAGTAACGACTTTATTAAGTAAAGTATGTTGCTAAACATACATTCTACGCTTCTTACTAGTATTCTTATGTACTTTTATGATTATTTTTATTTTTTTTCAGTTCACTATGAGAATGTGTGTATTTTTACATATAAATTTATACATATTTATACTAACATTCAAGTTATTTTTGTTATTTATATATGACAAACTAAAACATCATTCAAGTGTAAATGTATTTTATATACACCAAAAGAAAAAGTAAAGCATACAGTATTGTGTTACAACATGCCGCATCACACCACACTTCAAAAAAGAAAGAAAAAAAACAGCAATGATGGTTTTGAATTTGTAATGAGGTTGTTAAAGCTTTGTTAGATTTAAAAAGGGAGAGAAGATTTCTACTGTAACAACAAGAGAAGAAAAGGAACAAAAAAATAAACACAGAAATGCTCCTGCAGAGTGTTTATAGTCATATAGAGTGCCTAAAAGTATGCACTGTATATAAAAATGGTTTGTTATGAAAGCACACACAAGTAAGTGTATGTATGTAGGTATTTAATACAGCTGGCATTTTGTATTGCAAAGCAAATATTACAAAAATTACTTATATATTGAAATTCTTAGTAAAATGCTTGCTGGGTTATTGTTAGAATTTATATAAAAACATATCCTTACACGTACCTTTTGTAGTTAAGTGTTGTTGTATTTTGGAATCAGCTGTTATTGACAATATTAATATGCCAGTCAGTTAGATTTTGTCACTACTACTAAAGGTGAAGGTTTTTGATTCTTATTTAACAACCATATAAAATTTATGCTTCTCACTCTCACTCCTTGTCAGAATGTAAGATGTGTGTGTTTTATTTAAAAAGTAAATGAGGTGTCATTTATTGACATGTACACATACTAATGAAATTTTAGCAAAATTTCATGGAAAATTTTCTTCTTTTTTTTTAATGCAAGCTCTTTTTTAAAGCCCTAATAAGCCTTGTTGTAGCATCATTTATCTGTTTTCCTTTTCCTCCACTTTGTGATATTTTTCCCGGAATCTTACTTTAATTGTTGTTATTACTATTGATTTATTGAGAGGTTTCATCATATGAGCGTACACATTTTTATCATAGCTTTTTATGTAAAGTTTCTGAGAATTTATAAGTTTTCCGTTGCTAGCCAGTGGCAGAGAAGGGGAGTGAAGAGAGATTTTTATGTAAAAAGTTGTATTTTAGTAAGTAAACTACTAGCACTATTTAGTAACAACTATGGGTAATACTGAAGATAAAGAGCATAACTTCATAAGTTTTTTTGCTATTTTAATAAGGTTACAAGTTGGGAAAATTTGCTGACAATGTCAAAGTTATAATTTCTAAGAAAATTAGTTATTTAAAAAAGCTAGTAAAGTTATATAAATGGTGAGATAACCTCAAACGTATATGTATATGGTTATGAATATAATATTAAAGTTAATTTCTAAAAAACCAACATCGTTTAAAGCTGAATTTCGCGGGAACTATTTTCAAAGAGAAATTAGTTTCTTCACTAAAGTATAGCAAATGGTACTAAATCTTTATCAGAATATAGACTAGATCGGACATAAGCTAGACCATAGCCAAGACTTAGACAATACTATAGACAAGACTATATACTAGACTATAGAATATACTATAGACTAGACTATAGAATATAATATAGACTAGACTATTAACTATACTAAACTATAGACTAGACTCTTAACTATACTAAACTATAGACTAGACAATAGATTAGACTATAGACTGTACTATAAACTAGACTATAGACTAGACTATAGAGTAGACTATAGAGTAGACTATAGACTAGACTATAGACTAGACTATAGAGTAGACTATAGGCTAGACTATAGACTAGACTATAGATTAGACTATAGACTAGACTATAGACTAGACTATAGACT